CCCAAGTAAGTGCAAAAGAAATTGCCCCCTGATTTATTGCTGAAACCTGTAAGGCTCCAATGTGCAAAACGGATAGTTTTACTAACCTATAAAAACGTCGAGAAGCCTACCCTAGCCCAGCTACAGCACGCACCCATAAAAACGCTTCCCATAACCACCTACCCTGGGCGCGCGGGGTGCACGGTAAACAGAGCGCGGGCAGTAAGGCTTTTTATGATAATTCTCCCCAAGTTGTGAAACGCGGCCATCCTCGGTGAAATTAATTTAACGACCTCTCCCCCAACCCCCCTGTCGTCTCTCCCTGCCGCCCCTCCGCCCCTCGCTCCCCTTCTCCAAACCCCCCTCTTCCTCCGTAGACAACCCGGCAGCGAACTGGATCCACGCTCGCTCCACCCGGAAAAAGCGCTGCCCCTACACTAAGTACCAGACGCTGGAGCTGGAGAAGGAATTCCTCTTCAACATGTACCTCACCCGGGACCGGCGCTACGAGGTGGCCAGGATTCTGAACCTCACCGAGAGACAGGTCAAAATCTGGTTCCAGAACCGAAGGATGAAAATGAAAAAGATGAGCAAGGAGAAGTGTCCCAAAGGCGACTGAGCCGGCGCCGAGGCCCCGGCCGGGTCCTCAGCTTCGCCCGGGCGGTGGCGGCGGCGGCGGCGGCGGATTGGCTTGGTGGGGGATTGGTTTCCAGAAATTCTCCAGCGGACTGTACTTCTGGTTTTTGTTTTTCCTTCCTCCCCCCTCCCGTTTTAGGTAGAAGTGACTGTGTGGTTGGTCTCTGTGAGGTATTTGGGGGACTCTGTATTTGCTCGCTTCCGTGTTGGGAGAAATCAAGAGGCTTTGGGGTTTCGCTCATTCTGGCTCCCCTCACCCCTTTCCTGTCCTGGTGGTTCCTTAGGAAATATTATCCGTTGTGAGTGCACGCTGGCTTAGGGAGTCCTCTCCTGCGTCACCCCCCCACCCCTGTCTCTGAAAAGTGCTGTAGTTTTAGTCCCAGCCCTGCCCAAGCAGGGGCGAGCGGGGCCCCACTTCCGAGAATGAAGGCAACCGATGACAGGGTGGCACCCAGGCTGCCTGCCCAGGCTGAGGCCCAGCCGGGTTGCCCACCGGTTACAAAGCCCCCTTTCCTCAGGAAGCCCATAGGCCCTTGACCCAGGCCTGGGGTGGGGGCCAGGACACTGGGGCCGGTTCGTGGGGGTGGTTCTCTGTGCACTGGAGGAGCCCCCGAATCTCCACGAGGGCCTGGCTCACGTGGGCCGCCGCAGGAGGCCTCCCTCCGCCTCCGATCAAGACCAGTTGTAAATGTTGTTACCGATTCCTACCAATAAATGCTGACCTGATCAAACGGAACCCAGACGCTGGCCCTGAACGCCGTGTGTGTGCCTGCTTTCTCTGTCTCTCTGCAAAATAGCACCCTCACGGGACTTCTCTGCCTATCCCCTGGCCCTTCCACCCGAGAGCTCTCCCCTTTGTGTGGGCAGACCTGCCTGGAGCTCAGCCCCTGCTAAACGGGGGCCTGGGCATCCCCTTTCCTCCCCAGACGGGTTCATTGCCTCCCCAACTCAAGGTCTGGGCCTAACGCCCCCTCGCTTGCAGCGAGCGCCAAGGTAGCTGGTGGCCCAGCAGCCAGGCACGCTCCTGCTGAGACTTTGGGACTGTGCCCCATGCCTTCCATCTCCCCAACCTTTCCGAGCCACACCAGGAAGAGGACCGTCTCTGCAGTCCGAAAAACTCCCCCAGCTCTCCAGTGTTCTGGAGGGCTGCCCCTCCCCACTGGCGCCCCAATGTGACCTCAGCGGATCCAAATGGTCAAGGCTCTCCTCCCCAGCCACCCCACCCCACCGCCCCCCTCTTCCCCTGGCCAGCTCCTGTGTGATTAGCCCCCAGCGCGACCCTCTGCCGGCTGTATTCAGAGGCTAAAATGAAGGTCATTGTGAGCAAGAGTTCGGGGCGAGCCTAGCCTTTGGAGGCCCTGAGAAGGGAAGGCGCCAGGCTGCCTGGGGTGGGCGGAAGGAGGGAGGAGGTGGCAGAGATCTTGGGGAGCCTAATGAAAGAGGGGACTCCTGGAAGCAAAAGTTGAGGTGGGGGCTGGGGCTGGGAAGGAAAGCCAAGGCCCAGATCCGGCCTAAGGTGCTACCAGCCCCCATACCCTCCACCCCCGCCCGCCCCTGCGGCCAGCCTGATACCTAGGGCTCTTTGAAAACAGGAAGAGCCAAGGTGTCATAAAGCCATCGAGCCGGCGAGACGTCTGGGGGTAATGAGTTTACGACAGGCCAGGCGCTTCGCTTTGAAACCATCTCATTTTGATGTTTGTGTTTGTGGGAGGAAAGGAAAAATGCAGACAAAACTGGGTCTTAAAATCTGGACAATAAAATATAAACAAGACTGCGTTGGACCAAAAAGCCAGGGGCTTGGGAGTCCCTGCAAGGTGTGAGCACCTAGGAAATCAACAGGAGGTGGGTAGGAGGGAGGGTTTGGGAGCTCCTGGTTTTAAAATCGGTCCAGGTGGGTGGCTTTTAATAATATTTTGACAAACGCTAAGCTCTAGCTGATTTTTAAAATAGAACAGGCCTATTTTGGAGAGATGGGGAGTTAGTGGTCTTGGAATTTGCAGGCCCAGCGGCATGGTCATGGTGGGGAACGGTGAAGGGCTCCAGGTACACACTCACAAAAATATCTAGTTCTTCCCTCCAAAGTTCAAAGTAAAAATTTCGTTGACAATTTTATCTATTTTTGCTTATAGAAAATACAACTGTTATGTCCGAACTGGAGGAAAACATTTTGGAAAACGAGAAAAAAGATTAATCTTGCAAATGGATGAAATTCAGTGTTTACTTTTAAAAATCCAAGCAGAGTGTTTATTAATTTCAATGAATTATTTTAATATAAAATTTAGATTCCATTTGCTGCATAGAGAAATTCAAACTAGTGCCACCCTGGTGGAAGCCCACAGCCAACCACTCAGCGGTCCACTGAAGTAAGCTTCTAATTTTGCTGACATTGCCTCTAAAATCGACCAAACAAATGCATTTGGAACATTGGAAACAGTGAAAACAGCAATTATTCACTATCTTATCTTTAGAATGACAGCTTTAAAAGGGGGAAATAAAGATCTTAAAACCCCCAATCTTAACTTCTATAATTTCACACGTTTTCAAAATTCTTGGATCTTTTTAAAAAGCCTCTTTTGAAATTTAGAATGTTGTGCTTTTTCTTCTTTGTTAAATCTAGCCAGAGATATAATTATGCTTTGATAGTACAGTTGAGAGATTACTGACTAGCGAACTAGAGTGTCTGGCAAAAGAAGTGCTGGGAGCTTTCAGAAAGGCATGTTGGAAGCTTTGGGGAGTACAAATGGGGATATCCTCGACACGCAGGAGCCCGTTTGCTGTGCTTGACTTGTTGACACTCAAAGGGATGATGCATTATTAGTGCCAGCCTTCCAAGCTCTGAACAGAAGAACAAGATTGGAATTGGCTTAAAACGATTAACAGGGACGTTAAACTCAGTTGGCTCGAGGTGGCAGTTGGCCACTAGAGAGCGCTGTCGCTCCACTTTCTGATCCCATAAAACGGGTTGCGGAGGAGGAAGGCTTTGATTAAAAATATTTACAATCTTATTTTTAACCCCCAAATTAAGACGATTTTAAAGGAAAATAAACAATGTGCACTGTCAAATTACCCAGCTGTATTTGCTAGGTATAAGATTTTGGCTTAGTCAGGATCTCAGAAAATGTGCATTTATGGTACAGCTGAAAGGAAAATGTAATAAGCTAATGTTCTTTATCAAAATAGAAAGGAGTAAAAGCGTAGATCTTTATTTAGGAAATTAATCGCGCCCCCTTCTAATCATATTATAAATAAAGTTGTTTGTTTTGAACTTGAAAAAAAAAAGCTAAGTGTTTTATCCCAAGAGGTAATGTTGCCTAAATTAAGTCGGAATGCGTAGCAATGAATTTTGTAGCGTTCATGTCCTTTTCCCTCACCCCAGAAATCGTAATTCTTTCTACAAGGTGCCTTGCGAACGAGGTTCGATTTTGTTTCCCACTCCCTACTCCATTCCAAAGCATGTACACACGCACACAGTGCAGCCAACCACCTCCCACAGACCCAAGTTTTTATTGAAAGTAATCTTTTAATTGAGTAGTTGGGAAACTGAAGTGCAAATCTTTAACTGCCAGCACGGGTTCCTTTGTTCTAGGATTTAAAGGAAGTATTACCTGGAGATAGCTCACAGCAGGGGAAAATGCTGCCCTCACCATCGCCACAAGGAAAGTCTTCTGCAATCCCACTAACATGAGATGGCTTTTTAGCAGCAGTAGCACGTTCATTGGCACTGTTTTTACCTTTATCAGATCCTACTTCCAATCTCTCCTGTAAAAATCATTAAAATAGTAGCAGAAAAATTTCTCTTGCTATGCTTTTTCATCACAACCTTATAATCTTCCTTTGCAAAATCTGGTATTCCGTCCAGCCAGACTGATTTTAGGATGGCGGTCACAGTCTGGGCCAACCCCCCAGGAGTGAGCAGTAGTTGAAATCAGTCCTTGCCTTCACCTTGGAGGCTGTCTGAGATGGTGAAACATTTGCATTTGGTGTGTGGAAAACTGCAGTGGTGGGTTTTCACTAAGGCGGGACAGTCACCCAGGTCTTCCCAAGGCCCATGGGCCTGGAGCCTCTAACACTGGTTTATCCCGCAAAAATGGGGGTTTGGTTACCAAATAGCCCGCGAAAGGCCAGGTGGACTAGGAGAAATGCACAGAACTGAGGACATTCCCATTTATTGGACAATGAAATGGGGAAGAGGGCGGGTGGGGGGTAGCAAAGTGTAGCAGAGAAGGCAGCTGATAGTGTGTGAAAAAAAACAACCCAGTAGCTTTGGTGGGAATCGGGACTACTTTTCGATTTCACACCGGAGCTGCTCACATGGAGGGGGCTGCTTCTCTTCCTCCTCGGTCACAAGACTTGAGCCTTCGCTTCCTTCCTTTTTGAAAAAAGAAAAAAAAAATTACTACAAATTAAGCATGCACTCGCTCTTGGGCAGTTATTTTACCAAGTTCGAGGAGAGGAAACTAGAATCCTTAGAAGATGGACGCCGCCTGCAGCAGCTTGGAACCGGCGCGATCCAAGCGCTAGCCGAGGCTCAGGGAGGGTACTGGCAGGCATTGGCCCCCCCGCACTCCGCCCGGGGCCACAGCCGGCCCAGGTCTGCCTTGCGCTGGGGCTGAGCCGGGAGAGCCCAGCGTGCGGCCCCAGGAAAAGCCACCCACGCCAGCGTGCCTTCTGCCTAGCTAGGAACATTTCTGTCTGTCCGCAGTTCTATTTACCTGTTCAGCAATGCTAATACCTCTCCCTGGCATTCTTTAGCCTCCCCCCACCCTGCGCCTGCTGCTGACGTCTATCAAGGGTGAAATGATGGAAACTATATTCATGGGCATGATTTCCATTAAATATCAATTAACCTGGGAGCCTCAGCCAGGCGTGCAGCGCGTCAAGGGTAAATGTACATCTCATTTCCACAAGACCCGCTCGGCTGGAAAGGAAGGGCTTTGATTCGCTTTGATAACCCCAGGATCTGGGGCCACGCAGCTGGCCTCTAATCAACCCAGTTAGGCAGGCCCAAGCTCAAATGCAAGGTCCGTCTACACTCCACGTTCCCTGCGCCGCGCCCGTGTGTCCAGGGCTACAAAAGCCTCAGCTAACCTCAGCAGGGCTACTTCGCGGGGCCGGGGAGGGGCTCATTTGCCTTGCAGCCTCCGGGAAGTGGCCTCCCTGCCTCCCCCTTGTCGACAGGTCCTCCGCGCCCCTCCCTGCCAGCCGCGGCCCGCACGCATTCCCACGGGCTCGGGCGCACGGCGAGCCCTTGGCACTGCGGCTTTATGGGCCCCCTTTAAGGGCGGCGGAGGCATCTCCCGGCCAGGGTAAAGCGTCCCGTCGGGCGCAACGGGCAGCCTCCGCACGGGATCCCTCCGCGCGTTATCTCGCCCCATCTCGCTGCCTCTCCGCACAGTGGCGGGGTGCGAAAATGCCTCGCCGTGGCGCACCGGGGTCGCAGCCGCGGCGGCGGCGGGGACGGTGGGAGGGGGACGCGGGGGGGCCGAGGTGAGAGGTGGCAGCGGGCAGACGGTGTTTCTTGTTTTGTTGTGTTTTTTTTGCCTTTTCTCTCCAGAGCGGGGGTTTGCGGAGCGCAGCTAAAGCTTGTCCCCGTGGGGCCGGGCGCACTTTTCCCCGTCTTCTCCCGGTGCGCTCCGGATCGCCTGGGGCCTGAGAGGAAACTGTCGAGGCAGCAGCGGGGGCAGGTCACCCGGGGCGCCGGCGATTATCTGGCGGCCCAGCCGGC